ATAGTACATCGATGACGTGTCGGTGTCTATTAAATTATTCATGAGACTGCGTGTTCTTATCCTATGAGAAGACGCTTCGCTTAATTATTCACAACAGCATGTGTTGATTTGCTATGACAGACGTTTCAGACTGTGAGATGACATCGCACACATTAACTGAGAGAAACGTTCATGGATCGAAGAAGAGTGTTTGTTTTTGCTTTGTAATAAGAGTTCGGCACAAACGCGATTCATTGACTTGGTGAGCATAACCGTTTTTACAGCTCTGTGACGCAACCCGTTAAAAGGCTTATATAAACGCACAGAATAAGCCTTAAAAGTTCTCAGAGGTGCAACAGCGCGGTCATATATATGTTTTCGATGCAGAGTTTTTAACTCGATGGGAGCGAAATGAAACCGTCTGAACGCGAAGCTGAGTGTGTTGTCTGTCTCCCCTCTTCCCCCTCCTCCGCTGCGCACCACGCCCACTTTTTTAGCATTTTTTAAAACTGTGGTGAGAACTAACCAGTGCTGAAACGGGGGGTTTCATGACCCTTTAAATATCTAGCTTTTTCTAAACACAGGCTTCCCAGCAGTCTTTTAGCATGCTGTCGCTGCTGTCAAGAACACATTCGCCAAATCCCATTCATGCAATCCCATCTTTTTTTAACTCTCAGACTGACATTATGCATCACTGTAGCAGAGGCATCACTGAACCCAGATGTCAGAAAATAGCTCAGCCTTAAAGTTTGCACTGCAAAAGCAGAGCTTTTGAAGCAAGACACCATCACTCTCCATTTTCAGAGATCATAGGCTGAGTTGAAGACAATAATGGAGTCATGATAAGTGAAAAAAGCCCATCTTCAAACTGGTGGTTTAGTCAATGATATGATGGGTACAGCGCGGACGGGCCTCCTCCATTATGATTGGTGGATCGCCCAGTAGTAAATCTTCATCCCCCAATGCAGAGCTCAGTTCTGAGTTCACAAAGTTGGGGATGTTAAAATGCGCCAGGAGCGTCGCCTCTCGTTCTGCCCTGGTCTCCATGACCATATTTTGCACGACTAGTCCGACCGTTTCCACCTGGTCTCTGGAGTCGCCGCTGCCCGTACGTCCGTGGGCAGCACCAGCAGTGGCCCTGCCTCCTTCTCGCTCCTCTTCATTAATGTAACACTGAAAAAGAGACCGGGACTCTTCCAGCAATGGGCGAGAGAGACCCGTTCGGGCGTCTGCCTCACTTTGGCGACCCAGACCCTCGGCGCAGCTTGTGAGACGCATTCGTTTCTCATAAGGCTCCGCCACCCTGCGGGATTGAGACAGGAGTGTTGAACTCAAAACCTCATCAGCAGGTTTAAACAGCTTTATTTCCCTTTTCTAACAGAGGTGAAATGAGCACCGTTGCTTCCGGAGTGTGGGAGTACCCTCATCTTATATTCTATCCTCCTACTGTGTCTGAGTGTGTGTGTGTGGGAGCACATATTCCTATCCTCTCTTTTCAATGATCTTGAGTGTAAGAGGTTTCTGCTGGTCTGTGTTAATGGATGACTCACATCTGTAGAGCAGTTTAATTAAAAGAGCACTAAACAGACTGTCAGCCCGGCCCCTGAGCTATGCAACTGCTCCATTAGACCAGAGGATGGGGACTAATAGTGCTTTACTATTATAACGGAGTGTAATTATATGCAATAAACAATAAACGCCCTTAAAATTATTTGTCCAATACATTTGAATGTACAAAGAGGGCATTATTGAACATTAATTTGCTTTTAAATGAATTCTGGTTAGCTACCAGAACACAGACAGAGATAATTGGTGTTTTTGTGCATGGGCATGCATATGGGTGCATTTGTGTAATAAACATGAGCATGCGACAAGA